CGGGATCTCTGCCCCCGGCAAAGGGCGCGAGAGAGCAGGGAGCAGGGGAAAGCGCCCGCAGCTAGGTCGGGGCCTCAGCCCCAGACCCAGGCTCCGTCTTCGATCACCTCCGTGGGCTCGAGCAAGCCGTTGCCATAGTCTCTTCTGCCCTTAGGAGAGAGGTGGACTCCTTGGTTCTTGAGGCCCTTTCTAAGGTTTTGCATGCCTGGAATTTGACTGCGAAGCCTTTTCCTCAGTCGCTGCATTCTGAAGTCTCTGCTCCAGGCTTTTATCTTGAACCTTGTGGTCTTTCCCTTAATTTAGCCTTAAATGGACCAGCGTGTAAAGTTTTAGGGTGGTGAGCAAGGAACTGGGCAATGCCTCCTGCGGGCATGTCTTCTTAAAGTTAAAAGCTGCATGCCTTTTCTTCTGTAGAATCGAATTCTTGAAGTTTAATTCGTATTTCAAGTTTAGAATCATAGTGCTCTTTGTTGTTTCTGCATCTTACTAAGCAGTGTTCACCTCTGCGTAGAAATGGCATGTTGGCACCAAACACACCTCCCCCGGCCCAAGGGACTGGCAGCCTCTGATGTCTTGTCAACTTTCCTCAGCCTTGGCCCCTTCCGTGACCGTTTGCCCCTTCCTCCTTCACCCTGTGCCTCTCTGGCAATGTCTGGTTTGACACATTACCCTTGAGGACATCTGGGGATCCTTAGCCCCTTGGTACAGACAGTGCTCAGGTTATTAAGCAAGTAAAACGGTGCTCCTAGGAAATTCATAAAGATGTAAATGGTTTGAGATTGAATCTAGGTGGTTTCTATAGAGCCACAATAGTTTATTGATGGTGTTTCTTTTACATGGATTGGAAATGTATTACTTTTTTGGTTTTTATTTTGCGTATGCCAAGTGGGTGACAGTTCAGCCTTACTCAAGTGTGCTTAATGTCACAAGTAAAGCAAAACTTGTTTGTTTAGGGCTAGGGAGGAGGGAGGGCTTAATACCTGCCTGTCTTAATTTCTGGTTTCTTTGCTTAAATTTTTTTTAATTGATAAGTTGTACAAATTAAAATTTAAAAATTTAAGTGTGACTTTACACTTAAGAAAATAGCATTCTTTCCCTTAAAAAATTCTTGACAGGAATTCTTTGTTCTCTGAATTACTAAATTGATTAGAACTTTTTCAAGTTTTTAGCCTCTTTTGTAAGTAAAATTGTGAATACTTGTAAAAGCTTGGTATTTTGAGTTATCTTTTTAGTAACATTGCTTTGTGGTAATTGCCCACATTTGTTTTGACTATTGTATGTATCCAGAGCTTTCTATTTTAATCCACGTATGCTTTGGCCGTAGTAATCCATCCCGATGAACACACTTGTGACTTGTCATCGTTTTGTCCAATAGGTGTGGTACTGTTAGTTTGAATTGTATTATTACCATAGAGCCTACGATAAAGAAAGGAAATGTAATTGTTAGTAACTAGAGATTATTAAGCAACAAGAATTATGAAGCTGGTCTCGCCCAAAATCAACCTGATGGAGAAATGCTTATAAAGATAACTAATAGGAGCTGGGTAATTCAAGGAGGCTGTTATTGCACACTAAATCTTGGACTGTAGGAGGTAAGGTATAGTAAATTTTATTTGCTTGAATTGGTGATCTGTGATGCATTTTGTTTTTGAAGATTTTGTTCTGGTCTGAGCTTAGCTCTGCTGTGTTCCTCTGAAACCCTGAACTTCGGCGGTCTTTCTGTTTTCCTTGCCATATGTAATCTGAAAGTACCTTAGGAATTGAGGCTGGGCTTCTCTCTTGACTTCAGTGGGGCGGCATCCACTGCTCACAAGTGAGAGTAGGAACCTGGGTTTGGAGGTTGTGAAGTAGCATGAAAAAAGGCTTTTTTTGTTTTTTTGAGTTGGGGGGTCTCACTCCGTCATGCAGGCTAGAGTGCAGTGGCAGGATCGTGGTCCACCACAGCCTCAAAGTCCTGGGCTCAAAGTCCTGGGCTCAGGCGATCCTTCTGCTTCAGCCTCCCAAGCAACTGAGACTACAGGCATGCACCACCATGCCTGGCTGATTTTTATATTATTTTGTAGAGATGTGGTCTCTGTATATTGCCCAGACTGGTCTCAAACTCCTGGGCTCAAGCAATCCTCCTGCTTCAGCCTCCCAAAGTGCTGGGATTACAGGCACATGCCACGGTGCCCTGCAGGTTTTTGTTTTGACTTCCTTTTTGTTTTTAAAACTAATAGCCTTGGGACCTGAATTACAACTCCTGATGCAAGTATTGTAATGTGTAAGATTTGATGCTTTTTTTTTTTTTTTTTAAGAATTGGGTTTTGCTGTGGGTCAAGTCAACCATCATGATTCCACTGTGTCATCTGAGATTTCCCATCCCCCTGCAAGGAGGAGTAGAGCTAGCTCACAAGGAAATTATTAATTGTCCTGCTGGTGACCAGATGCATGAGCAACAGCCAGTGGTGACTTGCCACTTCTGCCCTTGCCAGAAGGTGGGACTATGTGAGTTGGTATACCTAGGTGTGCAAGAGTAAAAAAAATAGTAAAACCCAGGGGGACTTCCAAAAGGAAGTGAGGTGAAAAACTCTTGGCTTGTGCCTCTAAAATACTCCTAAATGATGACTACTTTTTGGAAGTTGTTGAATATTTGTGCAGATTTTTCTTGCATGTTGTATAGTTCATCCAGCCCCTATCTAGCAGAGGATGTCTTCTGCAGATGTCCCGTGATGTTATCCTCTGCTTATCTGCCTCTGGTAGACTGAGCAGATCAAGCATGAAGGCTAGGTGTCGCCTCTCCCTAGCCCCAGCTCCTTGCAGAGGACCCAGCTAGAAGGTCATGATCACTGAAAGTTGCTGAGTGCTCTTTATGTGCCAGAGATTGCTCCAAATTCTTCACACAGCCTGGGAGGGAGAAAACCTTTTTCTTCTCCGTCAGATGCAGAATCCAAGGCACACAGAGCAGTTAACCTGACCACACAGCAGTTTACAACAGCACCAGGGTTTGAAGCCATGCTGACTGGCTGCAGAGCCCCTGTAGGCTGTACTGCTTCGGTGACAGTTTGCAACCAGGACAGTACTGATGAAGCCCCCACTGCAGGATGTGACTGCCCAGCCTTGGGATGGAGCTGTCCTTCTACAGTTCAGTAAAGATCTCACCGCCAAGAATTGTTTGAACATAGCTCTGAAAGCAAATGAAAATGAAATGCCTTTAAAAAAAGTGCCTACCAAAATGACATAAGATTAGTAACAAGGGTTCAGGAGTCACATTAATTTTCCAGGCACTTCTCAATGTATTTTAAGAACAGGTATCACAAAGACAAGGAGTAACTGAAACACTTGCAGGTCAGACAAATACACTACCGTTGCCTGTGAAATTACTTTGAACAAGATTGCAATCTGATTACTTTTGGGGAAGCTTTGGGTTTTGCTCCTTTTATACGTTGCAGTAATTGCTCTTAATAGCGAAACATTGGGGAGGGGCTGGAGGAGCGGGGGTCTTAGGTTGAACCTGGGTTTATACAGCTTGATAGCAGCTGGTTCCTGTCGTCCCAGAATTTGTAGTTTTAAGTGTTTTGTCTTTTTATTTGATGATTTTTCTCTAACTGGTTTCTAGATCCATTATTTAATCTGTTGCTTTGAATTAGACATTAACCTTCTAAAGAAAATACTAAACAAAACTAAAGATTTGTCTGCTTAAGCCAAACTTGAGTCTAGGGAGTTATATAAGTAACATGGATGTCTGGAAGATTTGATAGAGTAAGCTTTTCTAAGGGGATTGCATAGGTATTATGAAAGAAAAAAGCAGTTTAAATTGGCGCAGGATAACAAAAATTAAGGGAACTTGGGCATCAGGTTAACCAGGAAGTTACTGTGTTTATTGAATGTAAGATACCTTTAATTTGAAAGATAGTAAAATGTGGGGAAGTGTACTTAAAATCAATGAAATAGACTAGTATTGATGAATGCAAAACTTTCCTGTTGTCAATATTGATGTCTTCTGTGTATA